TCAACCAACTGGCGCGTCGCAACTGCCTGGACCCCAAATATGAAATTGACAGTCGAGGGTCTCTTGCAAAAAGCCAGGCCCGCCTTCACTTAGGGCGGGCACCTTCGCCTTCACTTAGGGCGGGTAAGGCTGCAGACAGGGCCCCGTAGGCCTACCGTGAACCATTTACCTGGAGACCATGCAATTTTAACAAAGCATCGTATAACACAGTAGAGTTAGAAACCGGTCCAGCGTCCCCCATTCCAACTCAATTTGCTCATTTATTTTTTTCAGAGAACCGAATCTGGGCTAAAAACGCCCCAAGACCCTCCTCAACATAACCATTGGGCAACTTCTAGCTTACTTTCTTCCTGGATCTTTGCGAAGTTGCCCTTTGCCCAAGTTCCCAGGAACCAAGAGAACTTTTTCCTTCTCCAATCGGCAAATATTGCTAGCCTAACCAATGCTTTTATTTGGTTTTTCTCATGATGGAGATTTTTTTTTTTTTTTTTTTTTTTTTTTTTTACATGATGGATATTAACATCCTCCTGGAGAAACGTCTTCGCATTACGTGCTGCCCAGATAGTTTCCATTACTACCCCTCTGCAGCAGAGTGCTACATATCCTTCCCCCGAGCCCAAAATTCCTCTTGTTACTCCAAAAAGAATGAATTCATCTCCCCATGCAAAAACCATACCCGTATTCTTCCAAAACTCTCCACCACTCCTATACTTCCTGCCACAGGGGACAAGACAACCACAAATGGGATGCTGTCTCCCAACCCTAACTACACCTGACGCAGGTTGAGGAGATGTTCATTCCCCTTGTATTAAGCCATGTTGTCGTGGGGGTGATCAGCATCGATTGTAACCACTGCAACGCTGCCTGTCTCTAAGACGGAATCGTTTTCAAGGCCTTCCATAATTTATAGAGATCATTTTCTTCCACTCGTGTAATTTGCAAATCTGATAGTCTCTTTCCAGCCACTGCACTCGGTTTCCTTGGCCTTTTCTCTTGTTGTATTTGTACCCCCACCTTTGTTCTGTACTGATACACAGGGATGGCCTGCTAATAGGAACTAAGCTCCACCCAAACAAAATGGGCTCTATTGTTATGTTATCTTGGACATCCCTTACCAGATAGCAGTCTAAGCCCTTTTGTGCCTTCTGCTCATACACTCTCACCTCTTCCAAATCCTGTGTAGTCGCTACCGTATCTTCCCCTTCCCATATCAGTTTCCCCTTGCCCTTCTCCAATCCCTTTCGCCATTTCTGTACCTTCACCCCGGATCCCTGATCCGTGCCTGTGCCTAGTACTTTCCAAACCTTGTTTCTGTTTTCTGGGTCCTCCACCCAATTGCCCTCATTACGTTCTTTTCCTCTGTGCAATGCACCAATCCAGTGTTGAGGAACTGCTCTTTTGACTCGCTCATAGTTAAACTCCTGATGTCTGAGTTTCGAAAGCCTCCCTCTTAGCTCATCCAAGGTGTGCCATTTGGCTGCCTCTTCGTCCCATACATCTTTCAGTTGGATAACACCTTTTCCAATCCAGGCTTTCCCAAAAGAGCCTATACTACCATCAAATTTCAATTCCTGTCCATTTTCCAAAATAAATCTATTCTCAAATAGGATCTGGTTTAATATTTCCCTTTTGGATCTAGGCTCCGCTATTAACTGAGGCCTCACCTTCCTCCAGGCTCGAATAATATCCTGCCAAATTTTATACCTTGGCCTCCTTTGAGTATATGAGCCTATCATGAAGCATAGCCACACATGCGAAGGCTCTTTCAAAGACCATTCATCCATAAGGATGTACACAGCCAGTTTGAGCCAGCATTTTCCTGTGTCCCCATTAATTGCAGCCATCGGCCATTTTACCAGCAGAGCTATATTCTGTTGCATGGGGTCTAAAATCCCTAAACCCCCTTGACTTCTGGCGCAACTAATGATTTCCCATGCGACCTTTACTATAAAGCTTTGATCTTCCGACGCCAAAGGCTTCCACAGGTATCTGGCCGCTGCTTGTTTTATTTTTTGATATGCCTCCTCACTTAACAAATGAATCATACAGGGAACCAAAGAATTAAGAAAGTTGCAGATGAAAGTACTAGGGCCCTCCCAAACGGGGACAGTTGGTGGTTCCGCACCCAACCGTTAATCCTAGC